GGGCCAATCTACTTGACCCATCTTTGCTGAGATATTGGCAGAGTTAACTTTATAGTACTCTTGATTCCTTGAATATTCATGCAATGCATTTGCTGTCATTCAGTTTTACAGCCACTTTTTTCTTGCCTTTCTCCCTCTATCTTTCTCTCCCTCTTTTTGTAACTTTAGGTATCTGCTGCTTCTTCCTCTACAAATTGTAATAAATGTCTTACAGTCTGGTGATATTGATTGATGGTACACTTGATTAATGGTGCAATTCACAGAGAGGTTTTGTTAGGAAAGTAATCCTACATCTGATATGTCTTCCTCTTGATGTTGCAGGGTCACATAATAGGCTATTATGTATGTGTTCTTGAACTCTGTGGTTTCTTCTGACCATTAAGTATGTGGTGGTATGCTAATCCTTTAAGTATTTGTTCGTTCTTCTCTTCTTTGGGCTGTATATTTAGTGTCCATACAGCATACATACAGCATTTAATGGCCAGATTCAAGATTAAAGTGGAATGTTGTTTTCTGAGAGCATAGTAAAAGGCAAACTAAGGGACAGTACTAAAAGAAGCAGAACTAAGCTACATTTCTGGGGAAATACACGGGACAAGAATCTGATTCAGGACTAGAACTTAACACTTATGACAGTCTTTGCAACAACTGTTTACTCATGCAGGTAACTGATCACACAAGAGGTATGTCATGTAGGCAGACTAACATGGATATGGCCATTGTTCTTCTCCTCTGATTCAAAAAACACATTTTTCCAGTCATGGAGAAAAAGCAGTAAATTTCTGTAAATCCCTTTTCCTCATGTTACATTAGTACTTTCATAAATAGATGTGTGCATAGGTAAGATGGCCACAGTTGCATCTGTGTTGGCTATTTATTAGTGGCAATAGAAACAAAGGAGATCAATATGTAGAAGGGAAAAAAGATCATTAAGACTCATTACTCAAAGCTTCTAATATTTATAGCATCTAGTATAACTTAAGGTCCAGAATTTGCAAGATAGGACATACTGCAGGAATCTGCAAAGAGGAGTTCCGAGGATCAGCTCAAATGAAGATTATGAAACATGGGCGAGTTCCACACTTGTCAGTTGTAGAGCAGTTGCCATGATTCATATATGCAGTTATAACAGCAGTTCCAGTTGCAGATGATGTGAACAATTTAGTGTTCTCCCATTCTTTCTGAGTTAAATTCTTGCTTTTTCCAGGTGCTCATTTGTTGTAATTTGTGACTAGGGAAAATGTGGCTTGGAAGAACAACGTTAAGCAGGGTCAGGATCAGTGTTTCCTCTAAGCTGAGTTAGTGTAAGCTAGTTCACAGTTTTTTAGCCTCCGGCTCACACATTTTTGCCTTAGCTCAGGAAAGATGGCTCCAGAGCAAACTAATTTATGCAGTAGCCAAATCACTCACTCACAACTTTAATGCCAGTAGCTCACAAAGTAGAATTTTTGCTCACAAGACTCCACAGCTTAGAAGGAGCACTGGCCAGGATCAGAACTGAACCACCCAAAATGGAAATATCTAGGAATGATCACAACAATGCAGTATAAAGTGACATGTGGATCTCCCACAGTAACTCCGCAAGCAGTAATGATTGGTTTGCAAAGAGCCATGGAGTAGAACCAGCCATGACAGAAATTAGCACAAGAGGGCAACAAGGAAACAAGAAAAAAAACACCAGAAATCTTGTAGCTGATGGCAAATTGTCTTTACCTAACGGTCTTTATTATGTTTTCAACCAGAATCAAAAATAGCAAGGGAGCAGATATATGGCTTGGTTTCGGGTCAGTACCTTTAACGGAATCCCAAATGAAACAACACCCTGGATTAATTACAAACCAGAATTCCTGTCTCTAACAGAAATATGATAGTGGGTTTCTTATGCTGAATTCAAATTTCCTTTGCATCCTCTAAGCCATAGATTAATTATTGTTTACATAAAGGACAGTAGAGCATACTACAGTTGCTGAACTGCTTCCAGAACTGAAGCCATGAAGTATTTGATTCATGTATGCTACTATCAGCCACCTATATTTCACTTCAAGATAATCACATTTCGCATTTGTATGGGATTTATGCTTTAGTTTATTTATTTATTTAGGCATTTTTACCCCGCCCTCCCCGCGAACGGGCTCAGGGCGGCTTACAAGGGGTTCAGAACATGTGACTATTTATAATCAATAAGCGTCTGTAGTTCCCTCATGCTAGGATAGATAGCTAAGATCCTTTCCCACAGTTACTACATGGCCAGTATTCCATAAAACTCATAAGACATTAGTACAAGCGTCCCCAACATATTGCCCGTGGGTGCCATGGTGCCCACCAAGAACTTTCCTAGCACCTACCAAGTGTTTTTAGAAAGTGGGTGGGGCCAGATGAAGCTTCTGCCCATCAGAGCTTCTCATTAGTCACCAGAGACCTGATTAGTTGTACAGACTTTTTAAAATGCTGCTTTAGGAGCAGCTGCCACCACAGCACAAGGATCTTCACTGCATTACTGAAGGTAAGCTGCATGTATACAAGAAAATATTTTTAAACAATATATTCATTTTTAAAAGCATCCCATTAAACACCGCTCCTGCCAGAAAACTATTCGAGTTATGCATAACCTCACTCCCTGCCATTTTGTGGTTGGTTCAGTCTTGGGGTTGTCAGGTCCTACCTTCTTCCCAGAGGGCTTGCACATGGTGTGATGATGTCACCCAGAAGGGACGCTATCATACTGCTGATGTTGCACAGTGACGCTCTAGTTTTTGGATAAAACTCTATAGTTTGAACCCAAATTTACCATAGAGTTTTGCCCAAAAATTAGAGCATTGCCATGTGACATCGGCCACATGATGATGTCACTTCCGGGTGATGTCATCATTTTGCATTCCGGGGCATTTTCTAGTGGGGTTTCCTCCTGCTGGCCAGCTGGCCGGTAGTGAGGAGGAGCCCGCAAAAGTGGGGGAACCACCGCCTGTACCGGGGGGGAGTGGCTGGCAACCCTATTCATTCTCCTGTGGTGGCCATTTTGTGGTTTCCCCACCACCCTGTGTCAGACTTCCAAAGATGCTCACAGGTACAAAAAGGTTAGGGGCCTCTGCATTAGTAAAAGCTACAATTATTGTAACACTAATGCTTCAATCTATTCCAGTCTTTAAACACTAATATCACAAAGATATGTTGGGTGTTTCACCCTTCCCTACCAAGCATTTGGCATGCATTGAACAAAATTGTTATTACAAACAAAGTATCACAATGCTGTTATACAAACTTGTACCCATTTATAGTACTGTATAGAATCATCGAATCATAGAGTTGGAAGGGACTTCGAGGGTCATCTAATCCAACAATGCAGGCAATTCACAAATATGTTTACATCTGCATTTGTATTTATAAATCTTTTCAGAGATCAGCTGGCAATGATGTGGGTGGTCCTGAAAAAGGATTAGGCAAACTGATGAAAGCCAGATAAAATGATGGCTCCTAGCCACAATTTCAGTGGAATTATACCTCTTATTGCTAGGGGTAGGCAAGAAGGATATGGCTGATCAAGAAAGACAGTTCTTATGGTCTTAAAGTAAAGAAATACTAAGTGAGCCTTTAGGTGTATGGGACATGGTTACCACTAGTTTCTCAATGGTACAACTAACTGTCCTTAGCAGATATGCATGGTATACTTGGATGTGCATTATAGCAATATTTTAATAACCTCTGCTGAATCACTGCCAGCTACTAGGGGCAGAGTCCAAGCAACAGAGATACTTATAACTGGTTAAAGCTAATTTTTCAATATTTAACACTCTTTTCAGAGAGCATGAAAAATTTCCTTTGCATTTTTTTACATGTCAGTGGATATTCTGGACATCCAAAACCAGAAAGTCCATTTAAAATAGCAAATGATAAAAATGTAAGCGTCTTTGAGCATTCCCCATGCTGACATTGTCTGAGAAACAACTTGGCATTAGAAAAGCCAATGCACTTGCATGGACTTTAATAAATAAAATTTGGACTGAAGTAGTATAGAGGAAGGCTATGGCAAACCATATCTCCTGCCTTGAAAACCCCGTGGGGTCACCATAACTCAGCTGTGACTTGACAGCAACAAAACAGCTATTACATATAAATACCCACCATCAATTTTAGTTTCTGGTTTAGCATTCATCAAATGGATCTTGTGGAAAATAGACATATAAGGGCACCTAACAAATGTCCATCTGAATGCTCTGAAAGCATAGCAGAGACCGCATCATGTGTAAGATCCTGGGTTTAGTTCTTTCCAGTTAAATGGTCAATAGCTGCCTGCCTGGGAAATACTGGCTGAAGTTTTGGAAGGCCTCTAAAAAACGGGGGGGGACCCCATAGGATTAGCTTGGTCATTGGTCTGTCTCTGTTGAAAGTACTATACTTCACCTTCAGCTGTTCCTCTATGAGTCTGCTTCCAGTTGTGTTGTGTTCGTTGCAGTGTACTCTAAGCTAACCCTTTTCCTAGTCTTGGAAATCCCTGCACTGGAAATTGAGAAAGATATTAGTAAAGAACTTTTTAAAAGTATCAGTGGTGATCCCGGTAGTCAAATAATGGATTAGAAAATGATAAGTGCTCTCTGTGCAATTTTTCATGTCAATGTTACAGATAAATGGTTCTAGATGTGTAGTCTTAAGGACCAAGTATATAAGAAAATAAATATAAGAACTAAACTGGTATCTGCCAAGACCACTTCTCTGTCAACCCCAAGTTGTCTATACATTCAAAAGGCAATGGGTCAAATTCATATCCACTATACATTTGTATGAGTGAATTCTGCTAAATCCAGCTTGGGGACACCACCTCTTTCACCAGGATTGAACTTGATCCATTGCATTCTAGGGAAGCAACCTATTTTCTATTGTGTAGTCCTTTCCCCTATTCCTTTTCTCCTCTTGCTGTGGTGTTTTGTTGTTCCTGTCTCATCCGAGATATAGCCTACTTCGATGGAGACTTATTACAGCTTATCTCTGTCTGCCTTTCTTTAAAGCCAGCTGAACATACCCAATGCTCTTCCTCTATGGTAAGATCTAACAGAACACCTTCCCAGCTTCGTCTGTAATACACTCCTTAATCTCCTAATACACTCCTTATTCACTCTCCACCCTGACCACTTGGGTTCCCTTTTTCCAAGCCTAGCCTAGTTATCTCTGCATGAAGCCTCCATATTGTGTATCTGTTTGCTGAGTCTGGTGTTCACATAAGCTGTTGACTACGCTGCACATGATCTGTATTTCTTGTGCATCCCTGAGCTTTTCTTCAGTAAAGTTAACTGTTGCCCTACCTTCTAATGAATTATTACCAAGAGAGAACCAGAGTCCTTTAAAGATTTCTTGTTTGTTAGTTATGAGCTCTTTGAGGCAACTGGGTTGGCATGAAAAGTGACTTCCACTAAAAACAAATCAGTGTACAATTCCACATTCGCGATCTTGTGTGGAAAAACTTGGACATGCAATAGAGACCCCACATGCTCAAACAGAATATGAAAAGAGTATGTGCAGTATGTAATTCAATACATATTGGGGTTATTAATCACAAATTAATATTTGGGTTTTAATAACCCCGTAATATTCTTGTTAATGGGCTAAGATTAATATCAATTGGAGGCTACTAGATTATTTTCCATGCCTCTTCTTGTCGAAGCACATGCATCTATATAATATTAGGCACGTGTGGCCCCCATCTGCGGACAGTTAATTCCACAGTTTAGGGCCACATGGATGCTAAAGATATTTTTCTGCAAATTTGGGGGACTCTCCAGATTTGCAGAAAAATTTGGAATTTAAAAAAAATATGCAGGGGTGTTTAAATCCCTCAAAAGTAAAGTAGCATTTTCTCACTGGTTGCTGCAGTCCCTGAGTTGTGCTGGGCCAGGAAGCAGCAGCTGAACAGCCTGGGAGCCAGGCAGAGCATGCTGCTGGCAGTGGCGCAGCCTGGAAGTGGAACAGTCCAACAGCCTTGTTTGGCCTGCCACAAGCACAGGCCAGGAGCCCAGCTGGCAGTGGCACAGCCTGGAAGCCACATGGGACATGCCCAGGAGCCGCAATAGGCATGCCACCACCACCAGCACAATCTGAGAGTCACGCTGGGCCTCCTGCCAGCAGCAGTGCAGCCACTTAGTCCCTGGGCCTGGCAAGAAAGTGGGGGGGGGGGTGATTCCCACACATAAGGATTGCAGGCCCACACTTATTATATAACAATTCTATAGAAACAGTAATACAGACATTCTCCTTTAATACCTATGGCATGATGTAAAACTCCACAGTTCTAATCCTGAAATGTAGCTAGTGAGTAGGGTTGCTAGGTTCTACATGGCTGCCGGCGGGGGGCTCTAGGATTCATTCCAGGATCTATGGTTTGAGCCCAATTTTACCATAGAGTTGTCTAAAAACTAGACTGTCACACCCCCGGTGGGGGGAAACCTATCCGCAAATGTCCCCAAACATGACATAATGAAGTCACCTGGAAGTGATGTCATCATGTCGCCGACATCACTTTCAGGTGATGTCATTACATTGTGTCTGGGGGCATTTGTGGATGGGTTCCTCCTGGCCGGTGGCAAAAAGGGGCCTGCAAAAGCAGGGAATCCCCACCCGGACTAGGGGCCTGGCAACCCTACTAGTGAGTAAATATTTTCAGTAATGTTGCAGTGGTATAAATTTTCCTGTTAGTATCAGAGTGAGTATTGGGACTTTGAAGGAAGGGGTTTCTGATGACTTTTGGAAAATGGAATTTTTCCTTCACTCGCAGTTCTATACTGTATCTTGGGTTTGCTCAACAAGTTCAGAGGGTGCCACTTTTCCTGGCCTCAGGTTTTTAAGATTCTGGAAGTTGAATATGCTGAACAACAACAACAAAAGGCCGTCAGCATTGCCTAGGGCACAAGATATATCACAGCATTCCCTTGGGTTTATAGCTGAATTATACTGCCTTTCAACAGGAAAGCATTCCCTTCCTCCACTGGCTGCAGAATTGACAACAGAACATAATTAAGGTTCTACACTGAGTTCTGCAAACACTGGATCCATAAGCCAACTGAAAACAAATGTATTATATAAAAGCAAAGGTCTGATAGACTTGACATGGAGGCATAACATGGGTTCATAGTATCTTAAAATGCATTCCTTTAAAAGTAAAAAAAATGTAAACTGAATTATTTAGATAAAAATAGAAGAAAAAGAATAGCAAAAACTGCCTTCTATGACATGGGTCTCACAAAATAAGTAAAAGGAAGACATGCTAATTTTGAGCTCTTAACAGGAAATCAAAAGGTCTGTTCTCTCTTAATATACACAGTGGTGAGTAGTTTAGATCCATGTGTTTGTGTTTGGGGTAAAGGGGTGATCTGCACTGTTTCCTGGTCATTTACTACTTTATTATTTAGTATTAAACTCTTGGCTTTGCAGCAGTGGAAGAGGAAGGAACACAATGTTTATCCAGAAGGGAAAACACTATTTCATCCTATGGTATTTCACTATGCTTCCTCCCACATCTAGTAGGAAGAACTTAATAGTACTGGTAGGGCACCAAAAGAAACAATCCTGAGTCCTTAGCATAGGTTAGTGGCTCCATTTCCTAGAACACAGACTGCAGCAATCTACTGGGTTGAAAGTCTTTTCAAACCACGGCAAACCAGATGATCCCACTCAATTCAAAAAACTCTTGTCCTGGCATGAGTGCAGCACAAGGAATGTTGAAACTAGCTGCAGGTCCCATAGGGAATAGTATGGGAGAGGCAAACATTAAGGGACGGCATGAATTGTGAGAACAGAAGAGGCTGATAGGGTCATCCCCCCCCCCCCCCCCCTTCTTTTCTTCTAGGGACCATTAAACAGTAGCAATCAGGCCAAAATAACTATTTTATAAGGTCGATGCACAGACTGTGGGAAATACCTAGAGGGTCATGAGAAATGGAACTGAGAACAGTGAGACTAAGTGAACATACAGTACAAAGCCACACAAACACAAATGGTAAGACAGGCCCATCCTGAATAAATCTTTTTAGCCTGACTTAATTTTTGCAGTGCAGGATTTATTGAAAAGGAACTACTGTTTGGAAACAAGGTTGGGTGCAGCTGCTGTTCCTCCATTATTGTAGGTTAAGTATATAATGGATACTTTAATTAAAGTATAAACACTATAAAACCAGTATTTACCAGCAGAGAGCAACACATGGAAGAATACATGGGAAATATTTTGTTGCTCCAAATAAAACATTTTTCTATGTATTTCTCCATGAAAGAGCAACTGTGTCAGAGTTAGCAGTAAGCTCCCCCCCAGTCCCACCGCAATTTCCATTGCCTGCTCCTTGTTGTTTTGCCCTTGCTTACTCAAGACATATTGGCTGTCTCCTAGGTGAGACTGCTTTCTCCTTCCACTTATGCCTAAGGATGTCCGTCACTAACCAAGCAAAGGGAAGCATGTGTTTCTACAGTTGTTGTTTCTGCTGAAATTTAACAGCTGAGTTTCAATTAACTGTGTGCTCAGCTCCATGTGAGCAGCAGAGCTTCCATTGCTTGTCCCCCTGGCAGTAACCTTCTATGTACCTGATAAATTGCTCTCAAAACTCACAGCAGCTGTGAGTTACCAATATCTTTCCATGTGGTGTGCAGAACTGCCGTGGGGGGAGGAGTCCCAGTGGGCACACACCAGCCTTTGCATGCACCTCAAGAAAATCTTTGAATGCTTGCAAAAAATGTTCACAGGAAGACTAGATGACCTTCAGACACCCATCTTGCTATCTCCTGGCCACGTAGAATAGAATATTTTTTGTGAGGACAAAGGCTATGGCTGTGATTCCACCCACTTAAATCAGTGAACTGGTTGGACTGTACTGCAGGCTGCTTGTGCATTAAAGCCAGATCATCAGGTAGGAGACTGGTAGATTTTCTATAGCAGTCAAACCACTGGAAGTCAGAATGGCATCAGGGCAAAGTACTATTGTACTAAACTGTAGTTGATGTGTGCCTTGCTATTTTCTCCTTCCATTTTATACTGTGCCCAAACAACAGTTGGAGAATAATGGATAGACAAAAGGGTCTCCTTGGACACCCCACATCAGTGTATAACTGTTTACACTTGTGACTGGATTACATTAAGGCGCAGTTTCAGAAGTTCAGACCAAGTAATTCCAAACAAAAGTAACTTTCTTCTGTCTCTCAGTTAATTATGACTCCTCACCCATAGCCATAGGAAAAAATGTGCCTCAAACCATCAAGCTCTTGGCAAATATTTCTTGTTAAGATTAGGAGAAACAAAATCTTTGATACCACCCATGGAAAACCAAGGAGAATTGCTGAGAAATTAGGAAAGAAAATATAGTTTAGGGAATGGTCCTGGAAGAAAGTACTGCATTCGTCTATCTGAACTTCTGAGGCTAGTTGAAGATTAGAAATTCTATAAGGCAGGGGAACAGTGCAGTGAGCTCTTCCTGTGAAGTAGCATTTTCTGTGGCCCAGAGTCTGTGTTCATCATCTGCTGTTGTAACTACTGCCCTCTGTGCCAATGGGTTCCAGAACGCAGAGGAAAACTCTCGCATCTCAATCACCTTTTTCCGACTCTTCCGTGTGATGCGTCTGGTGAAGCTCTTGAGCCGAGGGGAGGGCATCCGCACGCTGCTTTGGACCTTCATCAAGTCCTTCCAGGTATTCCTTCATTCTTCCATTCCTCTTTATGTGGCTATGCCATAGGACAAGGCTGGGGCTTTTGCCACCTCACATTTATGTTGGGATCTGCATAAATTACACATTTATATAGGGATCTACAATGATCCTTGAATGGCTCACACCCAGTGAAAATGGTTTCCATGCATCAGTAGCCCAAGATTAGGGAATGAGGGTGGTGGTGGAAGAGGATTTCAAAAGCCCAATTCAAATAAATAGATGTCTGTTTTTGTAAAATGGACAGGCTGATTTCTGGAACATACACTATTCCCAAGCCGTGCAAACTTCTGAATAATGGATTCTGAATCAAGATAATCAAATCCATCTCAGATAAACACATTAAGGGGAAAAACAGAGATTTTATTGTATTTCTCCAAGATATTTCACAGCCATACATTTGCAGTTTTTAATATTAAAATTAAGGTGATGAACTATTCCCCCCACCCAACCCCAGATCATCCTTCTGCCTGTCTCCTCTCACTGGGGAGGTAAATGTTTTTGGCCACTGTAGACTGTCCAGATACAGCAACAGGTCCAATCCCTTACATTTGACCATCTGCTAAAATCACTTACACCAGGGCATTAAGATTAAAGCCATGCCTATGGCCACAAGAACCAAATGCCCCATGGATGACAACAGTGCACGCAAGGAACAATGGTTAATTGTTCTTCTAAAATAATGCAATAGTTTAGAAAGCAATCTTCAGGATTACCTGATAGAAGGTTGAAAAGAGATCCCAAAAGAGATGCCAAATAAGACTCAGGCCTATTGCTCAGTAAGCAATCCGCTGTCCAACTCAGATCTCCTGAGGTGCTTAGCATACCAGACCTTTGTATCTGTCTCCCCCACCACCTTCCAACTCTATTGTCCTTGCACCTGTTTCTGAGTCAGTTTGCCACTAGCTCCTAAGTTCTATCCTATTTTTTGATTCTTTATAATATAGACATGCATGCCTTATGTGCAAGATCATAAACAAATATTATGACCAGGAGCCAGCAGTCAGAGAGAAGCTTACAGAAATTACTCATAGAAAATAACATGTTTTCTGCAGTTATTCAGTGATAGGAAACCAGTCAAACTTGGTTGTCTGAATGACTAAAAAAATGAAGAAGTTTATTAGCACTGTGGTTTCAGCAAGCTACATTTTTGCAATTTGTTCAAAACATTGTGACCATAGAGTATCACTTATTGGATTTAGGTGACAGAGATGCACTGAATCTCAAAAACAAAACAAAACTGGGTGAATACAATCAGTTTCCCCCAAAAGTTATATTAAAAATAATGAATGACCTTGTAACAAAATTCTTTGTTTCCATAATCCTGCACTGGACAGGCATCACAATTTCAGCTTATTTCTAATTTTAAAAATGTGTTATAACTGCTGTTAATGAACAGAAAAATGTTTGGAATCCACTTTAGTTTTCTGAGAGCTGATAAAAGACAGTGTCAGGCACACTTAATTTTAAATCAGGGAAGGTTGATTGAAGTTGTGATACAGCTGATCATTGTGAAAGAAAACCTTGAAATCACAAGCACATCAACAAGATATTAAGATGATGCTAATATGTTTATTGTAATTGAAATAAGCTGGTACTATACTTTATCTCATGTTTATTTATATCCATCCAAATTCTATGAATGTTAAGCCCACTCTAAGGGTCACTTCACACATTGCTTTTTCTGATACAAATATTAATACATGTCAGAAAAACAAACCTATAAAGCAAGCCTTAGTGATGATAGAATTGAAACAGTATGACTTTCTTTGATGACACCTGGGTTGGACTGGCAAAATCAAAGACGGATTGGTAGAGGCACCTAGTGGCAAAATGTATACATGACAACAGTTCCTTGTTTGTACTTGTTAAACATGGTAAGAAGCAGAAGTGCAGCCATGGTTTCACTTTCTGTTATGTGTTGTGATGTCCCAAAGGGAACTCATACATCTCCTAAGGGAAGTGGCATGGGCCACACCTCTCCATGGATGAGATGTGCATGTTTCCTTCAGACATGGCAAAATGTGATTGAAAGTAGAAGCATAAATACATTGATGTATATTTGCTTTGCCACATGTAAGAGGCAAGGTCAATCACAGCCTCTGTTTCTTCCTCACATTCTCTTTCATTAATATAGGAACTAATGGGACTAATCCCTTCCAACATACACAACTGTCTTATGAAGTGATGCACCATGATCTATTTTTGGTTTTCCTCCAGGCTCTCCCCTATGTGGCTCTTTTAATAGTGATGCTGTTTTTTATCTATGCTGTGATCGGGATGCAGGTAAGTGTCTTCCCAAGTTTAGTGTTTTCTTATGCAAACATATATATGAGGATCCCCAGAAACTAGTGGCACAGTTAGCTTCAGGCTGTGCAAAAATAATGTGAGGTGCCATTAGAAAAGATATTAACATCTCTGTGTGAGGAATCTGTTCATATTAACTACAATTTGGGGGACCCATGTGGACTTGAAGGGGGCAGCTCATTTTCCCTTTCCCAAAAGTCTCAATAGTCTTTCCCCTTTTCCTGCTTCCTTTTCTTCCCACCCACCTGCCATCCTCCCATTACCATCTTCAGCTTTCTCTGCTTCTCTCCTCCTGGCAGCCTCTACCCATAGTGCTGGCCACTGAGCATAGTTGTGCAGTGGAGAACCTGCAAGGATTTGTGGGGGCACTTCACTTTCCCCTGTATGCCCCTCCCCACATTATTTCCTCTTTCCCTCCTCCTGATAACCTTCATATCTTCCCCTTTCCCTGCTTCCTTCTTCCCATCTACCAATAAACCTACTTTTTATCTGCCTCCCATCTTCAGCTATTTATTATTTATTTTATTATCTGTTTTTCTCCACAATGAGCACCCAAAGGAGCTTACATCATTTTCCTTTCCTCCATTTCATCTTCTAAACCCATGGGGTAGGTTAGGCTGAGAATGTACCTGCCTGTACCTTTAAGAAAAGAATGTTCTCTCAGTAGCCATTGTAGGGGTAGCTAGGCAACAATATTGCCAGCCTTTAAGCCTTAGCTTCTGTCAGTGAAAGGCAGGGGGAACAAGGCAAGGCCCTTTCCTGGACTGTTTTGACCTCTGAGAGAGGACTGATTGAGGCCAGGGCTGGCAGCAACCACTGGGCAATTTGATACCATGCAACTTGCATAAGTCACCCAACACTTTCTTAAATCATCTATTTGCTGTCTGCATGAATTGTTATTATCTTGCGCATTAGTGTATAAGAATCAATACCATAATTTTAAAAGTATTTCATACTCTGTCATCTAGGCTGTTCTTGTAACTCCGTTAATTTAAATCGTGTTACCCAGCTGTTAGGCCATACCCCCCCCCATCTCTCCTTTTGTTGGGTGCAGTGCAGTTGTTTCATTTTGCTTTCAGAATGGTCACTACTGAAAGGTGAGCAAAAACCCTTTGCCTCGCCACTTCAGTTGCCTCCACACAGAGGTATTGCTTTCGCCAGTCCTCAGCCACACTGATACTTAGATGGCACCATATCACCTGAGAAAGAATTACAGCAACTTCTTTGCAGAATTAAAACTGGAAGCATACATCAAGAGATGCGACAGTCTGAAAATAGTGATAAGTAGTGAGTGATAAGAGGTGCAACAGTCTGCATCCTCTTATGATGGGTGAATTTGCTGTGGAGTGAGAAACAGCAGTGATCAAATAATTCATTTACCCAACCTCCCCCCCCCCCATGGATGCTGAGTGCAAAGAGGCAAGTCCACAATACCAAAACATGCAGCCTCTTAGCCTCACAGGATCTTTAGTTATTTCACAACTTATATCTTGCAGCACATTATCAGTTCTCACATAGCACATTAGACATTGGGAATGACACTGTTAACCAAAGCATTACAATCAGGCAAAGGGTGGAGAGATGGAGAAATCCTGTTCTTTCTCCAACCCTATTCATCACCATGTCACCCGTACTCATACCCCTGGTGGAGAAGCAGACCTGACCTCATGCCACCTATCACAATGGCAACAATTTCAATAATAGTGGGGAAAGAGATTTCCTCTGATCTCCTTTTCATCACTGAATCCATTGCAACACATGAAACAAGGAGTGGTGGGCCAGACTTCTCCAATTCTGCTCTTCCATGGTTTCCACCCACAACCTCTTAGCCATGTGGAAATGCGGAACACTTCTCTCTCTCACTCCAGAAACTAGGTTCAAGATGGAATAGCAGGAGTTTCATCCCCAGTCTAGCTCCTGCTGTTGCTGTTGTTTTTAAGGAAGAGAAAATTTTGAAAATTCATTCTATACACATATATACCTATAGCTGTCATTAGAAGGCAGAGAAGGACCTGGGGTGTTTCTGGTGGCGGTGGCTTGGCTACTCATTGTAGAGCTGGTGGACAGTTTTTTCCACAGCACAACATTGCCATCCAAGTGCAGTGTTTTTCTTTTCCACATGGAAATAAATGAGAGCCATTCATTTATATGTGGAAAAGAAAGAGGCTACACTTGTACCTGGTTTTGCCCTTTTCCCCAATAACCTTGTTTAGTGCAGTTTATTTATTTTACCAAGAAAATGATCACACACAAAGGTTAGTTCCACACAACAACTTTTATTTACTTACTAGGAATAAGGCCCGTTGTGGAAATAAATACAACAAGCTCTAGAAAGAGGCTCTGGGCAGGTGCCCTGGCCTTGGGCACTCAGCATCAATTTGCTGTGGCAACCTCAGCAGGGTATAATAACACAGAGTCTACCGTTTTCTTCAGGGGAACTGATATCTGTCATCTGAAGAACAGTTGTAATTCTGAGTGATCTCCAGCCCTCACCTAAAGATTGGCAACAATGGTTCCCCAGGAGGAAATGGTTGGTTTGGAGGGTAGAGTCTATGGCATTGTACCTGTCTGAGGTCCCACCTCTCCTCAAACCCCACCCTCTCCAGGCTCCACCCCCAAATCTTCAGGAATTTCCCAACCTGGAGGTGGCAACCCTATCTCCTTCCCAGCCAACCATCAACCTAACTTTATCTGCCCCTCTGACTTCAGCTTTCCATCTCCTCCCCCCTCCCTGCAGCCTTTATCTAGGAAAAGTACAGTCTTTCTCCACAGTGGGGATCAAAGCAGCTTATATCATTCGCCTTGCCCCCTTTTGATCTGCACAACAACCCTGTGAGGTAGGTTAGGCTGAAAGTCTGTGAGTGGTCTGAAATCACCCAATCAGCTTCCACAGCAAGGACCTGGGTCTGGCAGACCCTGCTCTGAAGCACTAACTGCTAAATCACAATGGATGTCATGGCGGGGCCACCTCAGCAGGGTATAATGACACAGAGTCCACCATTTTCTCCAGGGGAACTAATCTCTGCCACCTGGCAAGCAGTTGTAGTTCTGAGTGATCTCCAGCCCTCACTTGGAGATTGTAAATAAACCCCAAAAAACCCGTGATATTATTATGCAATCTACTCAATAATTATTATTAAGCATTTCTATTATGGTACAAATTACAAAACACATTCCAATACAAAATATACAAATATTTAAGGTGTCCTCATAAACCAAACTGTTCGTGCCCAAAGTTCTTCTGTATAATACAGCTCAAAGTGGCTTTACACTGTCCTTCTTTGATGTAGATGTAAATTATTCCAAATATCTGATCAACTATTGTGGCTCTGACAGGCCAGCTCCACACCCAAGATACTGCAGCAGTCAAAAAAAAAATTCTCTGCTTGTTCAGTCTGTTTTGAGGAGTGTTTTACACTGAAGATCTTGAAATCTATGTTTACATTCAGCTTAATACAGTGTTAGTGGGGGGGTTGTTTACTTACAACCTATCCCATGGTCTCACGTTTGTACTCGCCTGGAGATTGGCAACAATGGTTCTGCAGGAGGAAAAGTACAGTCTTTCTCCACAGTGGGGACCAAAGCAGCTTACACCATTCTCCTCTCCCCCTTTTGAGTCTGTGACTGGTCTGAAATCACCCACTCGGCTTCCACAGCAAGAACCTGGGTCTGGCAGACCCTGCTCTAAAGCACTAACTGCTATGCCACACTGGCTGTCCTAGGGGAACTGCTGCTGGTGAACAGGAGCAAGCAGCCAGGCCAAGTTAAGTCATGGCAGTCAGGTGTCATCAAGTCACCCAGAGGGCGCTGCCAGGCCTAGGGTAGCCAACCTCCAGGTGGAGCCTGAAGATCACCTGGTATCACAACTGAACTCCAGACAACAGATCTCTCTCCCCCTGGAAAAAATAACTGCTTTGGAGGGTGGACTCTTATGCCATTCTATTCAGCTGAGGCTTCCATAGACTCCATCACAAAATCTCCAGGAATTTCCCAATTTGGAGCTGGCAACCTAAATCAGGGCAGGCCCCAATGAGTTCCCCACAAAGGCCAAAGTAGGCCTGGAAATGGCTTCCTGCCTTTTTACTTGGTTGCCTAGTAACAGCCACTCAGTGGAAAGTAAGCCCCATAGCAAGAGGAGAAGACAATAGTTTGACGGCTTGTGGCTCACCTCAGTAGCCAGCCAACTGTGGAGGAGCCAAGCAAGAGAAGCGGCAGCAATAGAATCCTCTTCCTGAGCAGGGAACAGCCATTTCAGTAACCAGCCAGAAGCAGAGGAGTGAAACAGCAGCAGTAGAAGTGTCTTCATCAGGAGAGACAGCCATTTTGTCAGTTTATTCAGATAAGGAAGAGTGGCCAAGCCAGCAGTGGGCAAGGGAGAGGAACGGACCCAGCACCCAGCCAATGGCACGCGAGTACTCTTGAGTGGCAGTTAACGAGCCAATGGCTGATGGAGTGCACAGCACAGTCAACGGGAGAGCCAGAAACTGCCAATATGCTAGGGCTTTTATACATATAAGATTTATATATTTGATTTGTAGACCGCCCTCCCCTGCAAGTAGGGCTCAGGGAATGGTGAACAACATTTTAGTAAATACATTTACAAGTAAATTTAAAAACGATTAAAATAGTAAACAATTCAATAACAATCCCAATTACAATTACAGATGGTGCTAAGAAACCAATTTTTATCCTTCACCAGGTGGGGCTGAGGAAAGAAGGGAAGAGGCAGGCTCAATGGAAACCGTTGCTGTCCTCACCCATAGGCCTGGTGGAACATTTCTGCCTTACAGGTCCTGCAGAACTGGACTAGGTCCTGCAGGGCATGGATGTTATTCAGCAAAGAATTCTGCCAGGTCAGCACCCAGGCCAAAAAATCCCTGGTTCTGGTTGAGGACAGCCAGATGTCTTTCAGGCCAGGGATGATCAGAAGATTCTTCTCCCCAGAGCGTAATGCTCTTCGGGGAGTATACCAGGAGAGG